TCTCTCTCTCTCTCTCTCTCTCTCTCTCTCTCTCTCTCTCTCTCTCTCTCTCTCTCTCTCTCCCTCCCCCCCTCTCTCTTTTCTTGTGCTCTTTCTTTCTCTCTTTTCTTGCGCTCTCTCTCTCTCTCTCTTTTCTTGCGCTCTCTCACTCTCTCTTTTCTTTTGCTCTCTCTCTCTCTCTCTTTTCTTGCGCTCTCTCTCTTTTCTTGCGCTCTCTCTCTTTTCTTGCGCTCTCTCTCTCTCTCTCTCTCTCTCTCTCTCTCTCTCTCTCTCTCTCTCTTTCTTGCGCTCTCTCTCTTTTCTTGCGCTCTCTCTCTTTTCTTGCGCTCTCTCTCTCTTTTCTTGCGCTCTCTCTCTCTCTTTTCTTGCGCGCTCTCTCTCTCTCTCTTTTCTCGCGCGCTCTCTCTCTCTCTCTCTTTTCTTGCGCTCTCTCTCTCTCTTTTCTTGCGCTCTCTCTCTCTCTCTCTCTCTCTCTCTCTCTCTCTCTCTCTCTCTCTCTCTCTCTCTCTCTCTCTCTCTCTCTCTGTCTCTCTCTCTCTGTCTCTCTCTCTCTCTCTGTCTCTCTCTCTCTCTTTTCTTGCGCTCTCTCTCTCTCTCTTTTCTTGCTCTCTCTCTCTTTTTTCTTGCGCTCTCTCTCTCTTTTTTCTTGCGCTCTCTTTCTCTCTTTTCTTGCGCTCTCTTTCTCTCTTTTCTTGCTCTCTCTCTCTCTCTCTCCCTCTCTCTCTCTCTCTCTCTCTCTCTCTCTCTCTCTCTCTCTCTCTCTCTCTCTCTCTCTCTCTCTCTCTCTCTCTCTCTCTCTTCTTGCGCTCTCTCTCTCTCTCTTCTTGCGCTCTCTCTCTCTCTCTCTCTCTTTTCTTGCTCTCTCTCTCTTTTTTCTTGCGCTCTCTTTCTCTTTTTTCTTGCTCTCTCTCTCTCTCTCTCTCTCTCTCTCTCTCTCTCTCTCTCTCTCTCTCTCTCTCTCTCTCTCTCTCTCTCTCTCTTTTCTTGCGCTCTCTCTCTTTTCTTGCGCTCTCTCTCTTTTCTTGCGCTCTCTCTCTTTTCTTGTGCTCTCTCTCTTTTCTTGCGCTCTCTCTCTCTCTCTCTCTCTCTCTCTCTCTCTCTCTCTCTCTCTCTCTCTCTCTCTCTCTCTCTCTCTCTCTCTCTCTCTCTCTTTCTTTTCTTGCGCTCTCTCTCTCTTTTCTTGCGCGCTCTCTCTCTCTCTCTTTTCTTGCGCGCTCTCTCTCTCTCTCTTTTCTCGCGCGCTCTCTCTCTCTCTCTCTTTTCTTGCGCTCTCTCTCTCTCTCTTTCTCTGTCTCTCTCTCTCTCTCTCTTTTCTTGCGCTCTCTCTCTCTCTCTTTTCTTGCTCTCTCTCTCTTTTTTCTTGCTCTCTCTCTCTTTTTTCATGCTCTCTCTCTCTTTTTTCTTGCGCTCTCTCTCTCTTTTTTCTTGCGCTCTCTTTCTCTCTTTTCTTGCTCTCTCTCTCTCTCTCTCTCTCTCTCTCTCTCTCTCTCTCTCTCTCTCTCTCTCTCTCTCTCTCTCTCTCTCTCTCTCTCTCTTCTTGCGCTCTCTCTCTCTCTCTCTTCTTGCGCTCTCTCTCTCTCTCTCTTCTTGCGCTCTCTCTCTCTCTCTCTTCTTGCGCTCTCTCTCTCTCTCTCTCTTCTTGCTCTCTCTCTCTCTTTTCTTGCGCTCTCTTTCTCTTTTTTCTTGCTCTCTCTCTCTCTCTCTCTCTCTCTCTCTCTCTCTCTCTCTCTCTCTCTCTCTCTCTCTCTCTCTCTCTCTCTCTCTTCTTGCGCTCTCTCTCTCTCTCTTCTTGCGCGCTCTCTCTCTCTCCCCTTGCGCGCTCTCTCTCTCTTCTTGCGCGCTCTCTCTCTCTCTCTTCTTGCGCTCTCTCTCTCTCTCTCTTCTTGCGCTCTCTCTCTCTCTCTCTCTCTCTCTCTCTCTCTCTCTCTCTCTCTCTCTCTCTCTCTCTCTCTCTCTCTCTCTCTCTCTCTCTTGCTCCCATTCTCTCTCTCCTCTCTTGTCCTTCCTCTCCTTGTGTTCCTCCCACTCATCATCTTTCCCCAGCAGTTACGTATTTTTCTCACCCTTGTATAATTTGTTCAGAGATCACCAGAGTGCTGTATTTATCCATAATGTTAGGGGCGAGGTGTTAGGGGCGAGGTGTTAGGGGCGAGGTGTTAGGGGCGAGGTGTTAGGGGCGAGGTGTTAGGGGCGAGGTGTTAGGGGCGAGGTGTTAGAGGCGAGGTGTTAGGGGCGAGGTGTTTGGGGCGAGGCGTTAGGGGCGAGGTGTTAGGGGCGAGGTGTTAGGGGCAAGGCGTTAGGGGCGAGGTGTTAGGGGCGAGGTGTTAGGGGCGAGGTGTTAGGGGCGAGGCGTTAGGGGCGAGGCGTTAGGGACGAGGCATTAGGGGCGAGGCGTTAGGGACGAGGAATTGAGGGCACGGTGTTAGGGACTGGGCCGACCACGATGACGCAGAGAAAACTTAGAAGTCATAGCACCTACGCCGTGCTCGTCAGCGTGACGAGAGTCCCGTGGGAACCATGGAACCGCCTTTGTAGGTCGCCGGTCCACCGACTTTGCTCCTTTTTTGCTGCGTAGATGCTGATGGATGGGAAGTACTGAAGAACCTATTCTTTATTCTATTTTGTTCCCAAGGCCTGCCAAGGGGGGATGAGTACCTGCCACACGACAAACTGATAGCAAGCAGAAATGATTCGTGATACCTCCCCTGTAATAGGCATTTAGCCTGACTCGTGATATAGGCCGACACTTGTCACATGAGTAAGTAGTGAGTTTTCACCTTGAGCTTGGGCCTTTTCATAGTCCTTTTCATATTTCCTAGTGTTGATAAAACACCTTGAATATAGTGTTTACGTAAACACATTTTGCATCTGTTTTGCCGAGACATAATATGTGATTTGTCTTCCGGACTGTTGATATAGATTCCAGAAGGTGGAATAATTCAAGGCATATGCTATGTTATTGGAGTATCTACCTTTTTCACACTCATGCTGACGGTTTCCTTATGCAAGATCACCATGAACCTAGGAATCACTCCACTGCCAAAGAAGAGGGATGGACCTGTTATGCCACGGCTGTTTGTCCGTTGTTTGTTTCTGCGGCGCCGTGTCATTGTTGATCACAGTATGGTCATGACTTAGCGTTCGCGAGGCTCTTTGAATAAAGTCAGCGTGATGATTTGAAACATACATGACAGTCTGAATACTCACTGTAAATATGGCTACATTCTTTACTGTGTTTTTGCCCTTATAGTGTGGGTGATTGACTCGGTCAGATTTTGCCTTAATATTCTCGTGTATATGCATATCAAAATATACAAGTAAAATGGATTGATTTATGTGAGTATGATCATATGTTTGTTTATATTCATGTGTGTATATGTTTATGTGTGTATATGTTTATGCGTGAAAATCACATTTGGATGTGGTATAGCACTTAGTATGGAACACCATCTCGAAGCAGTGTGCATGGCATTTCCAAGCAGAAGAGCGTAGGACTACAGAGTCGTGGTGGTGCGGCGCGCAATCCACGAGCGAGCACCAAAGTGTAGGATTCTCCGGCCTTGTCATGATCCTTCGACTTTAAGGACTCGGTTATTGAGCGTTGTGACGTTATACGTTTCGAGTATTGATTCCTAAAGAGTGACGCTCTCTTGTTCCTCTCGTTCAATTTTCTCATCACATGGTCTGTGTTGAACTCGCTTTTGTAGTTCCTTGGGCAAGTATGCTTCCACAATAGGACTTGCTTGCGTCTTGTTTCCAAGGACGAATAACTGCCGTGCGTTGATTACGGATCATGGCATATACGATGAAAGCAAACAGCTTACACCTATAACAAAACAAACAAACGTTGCATTCAGGTGCATGTGAATTCATCGCAGCCTGTGCATTCCAAGCTTGACTTCATATTCGCAGTATTTCACTTCATACTGAACATGCATTCTGTTTGTTTGTTCTCCCACGTTGTCTAAGACATGACATGGGAAAAAAAAAATCGTTTCTTCGCCAGTTTCGGTGCGATGACGTCATTGCAAATCATTGCATTGATTCCGCGCCCGTGCTCTGCGTTGCCCTGTCATTACCAAGTTGTTTTATTTCGTGCAGTATTATTACTACTTTTTCAGTGAGTAACACTGAATATATTCCAGTTAATATGTGGAATAGGCCTATAAAGTATAAACTGTATATTCAGTGGAGTTACATATATACATTTTGTATGGATACAAGCACACATTCATACACACTTACACGCATGTATATGTATCTATACATATATGTATGCATATGTATATGCAAATGTGCATGTATGTGTATATATATATGTACATGTACGTATGTTTATACATATATATTTGTATATATGTACATGTATATATGTAAGTGTATATTTATGTACATGTACATGTAATGTGTATGTGTATAAAAAAGTATGAATGAGAATGAATATCTTCACAATACGAGAGATGTATTTGACCAGTTTCGATTATATATTCGTCAGAAATACATGTATTTACATGTATTTTTTTCAAGATGGTATTCCATGCAAAGTGCTATAACACCTCCAAATATTCATGCATAGACATATACACACATATATGTATTTCTGACGAAGATATAATCGAAACCGGTCAAATACATCTCTTGTATTGTGAAGATTTTCATTCCCATTCATACCTTTTCTACATTTGTCAACAGGAATACAGTTCATGTATGTGTGTGTTTATGTACATGTGCATGCATGTGTGCGTTTGTGTACATGTACATGTATATGTGTGTCTATGTACATGTACATTATATGTATATATATGTATATATATATATATATATATATATATATATATATATATATATATATATATATATATATATATATATATATATACATACACACACACATGTACATATATGTGTTCATATAATCTATTTTTATATGCAAACAAGTGACTGTGTATGAATACCTCGCGCCCTCCGCCTGCCCTCCTGACGCAGTCCCTCCCCAACAGGTGCTTCGTGCCCGGCTGCGACGACCCCAACGAGCCCGACTTCTCCGCCGAGTTCGTCAATGACACCATCCCCCACGGCGACGAGTGCTTCATGTACCAGCGCTATGAGCCGGTCACGAACTCCTCCACGTGTAACTTGGATGACTTCAACGTGAACGTCAAGACCAACTGCAGCGAAAAGGTGTTCGACACGTCCCTCTTCACCTCCACGACCGTCACTGAGGTGAGTGCGAGCAAGGGCTATGGAAGTATAGGCCTTGAGTGCGAGAGGAGACTCACCGGGGCGCAGTGGCAGGGGGGGGGGGGAGGAATCCATAGAAAATGGGCATGGGTGATGGCAGGAGAGCTGTGATATGGGGAGCGAGGAAGGGAGGGAGGGAGGGAGGGAGAAGGATAAGGAGCGAGGAAGGGAGGGAGGGAGGGAGAAGGAGAGGGAGCGAGGAAGGGAGGGAGGGAGGGAGAAGGAGAAGGAGCGAGGGAGGGAGGGAGGGAGGGAGAAGGAGAAGGGAGCGAGGAAGGGAGGGAGGGAGGGAGGGAGAAGGAGAAGGAGCGAGGAAGGGAGGGAGGGAGGGAGAAGGAGAGGGAGCGAGGAAGGGAGGGAGGGAGTGAGAAGGAGAGGAGCGAGAAGGAAGGGAGGGAGGGAGAAGGAGAGGGAGCGAGGAAGGGAGGGAGGGAGGGAGAAGGAGAGGAGCGAGGAAGGGAGGGAGGGAGGGAGAAGGAGAGGAGCGAGGAAGGGAAGGGAGGGAGGGAGAAGGAGAGAGGGAGGGAGGAAGGGAGGGAGGGAGAGGAGAAGGAGCGAGGAAGGGAGGAGGGAGAAGGAGAAGGAGCGAGGAAGGGAGGGAGGGAGAAGGAGAAGGAGCGAGAAAGGAAGGGAGGGAGGGAGAAGGAGAGGGAGCGAGGAAGGGAGGGAGGGAGGGAGAAGGAGAAGAAGGGAGGGAGGGAGAAGGAGAAGGAGCGAGGAAGGGAGGGAGAAGGAGAAGGAGCGAGGAAGGGAGGGAGGGAGAAGGAGAGAGGAAGGGAGGGAGAGAGAAGGAGAAGGAGCGAGGAAGGGAGGGAGGGAGGGAGAAAGAGAATAGGCGAGGAAGGGAGGAAGGGAGGGAGGGAGAATGAGAATGAGAGAGGGAGAGGGAAGTTTATGCCCTTTGTTTTCCGCTGCATCCTCCATTCCCCCCTCTCTTCCTTATCTCCCTGCACTCGTGTCCTTTGTTCTTTTCAGCGGCATCACCTTCCCTCCGTTCTCTCTGCTTTGATGATCGATGTCTCGGTCTGCAGTCCACACATGGCACAGCATGAGAAATCTAGGCTGCCATGATGCACACACTAGCTCTGCTGACCGCGAAACGATTGTCTGCTCCAGTTTTCCCATTCTGTTCTATTTCTTCCTTTACTGTAAAATATAAACATAAAAGTTATGCAGATATGTATAATTTAAAAGGTTGTTATCTTCTAGTGTCTCTGATTCACTATCATTGCTTTTTCGCGTTTCTCATACTCATCATTTCAAATCTCTATCCTCGCCTCCGTTTCTCCCCCGTCTCAGCGCATCCCTCAGTTCTTAAATATACAACGTACGTCACTTTCCGCTCTTCTCTCCACTGCAGTTCGACCTGACTTGCGAAAATGCCTGGCTTGGCCCTCTTGCCGGCTCCATGTACATGGTGGGCATGCTGCTGGGTGCCATCACCATCGGAGACTTGGCTGACCGCTTCGGCCGCAAGATGGGGATCCTGGTGTCCGTGATGCTCCTGGGTGGCGGCGGCGTCCTGAGCGCCGTCAGCCCCAACTACTACATGTTCCTCGCCATGAGACTTCTTACTGGTGCTGGCGGTGTCGGCCTCTTCCAAGTTACCTTCGTTTTAGGTAAGTGTCTTCACATTGCCATGCTTGCCTGCGCGTGACTAAATGATACAAGATTTAGTGTGTTATAGATCTCTCTATATATCCCTTTGCCAGAGAATAATGGTAGTTCTTTTCGACAGCTGTTGAATTCATCGGTGCCAAATATCGGACATTTTGCGGAATCATGATTGAAGTTCCTTTCGCTCTCGGCGAGGCCATGACGGGAGTCTTGGCCATCTTCATCCGCGAATGGCGCTGGCTTCAGGTGGCCGTGACAGCCCCGGCTTTCCTTCTGCTCTCCTACATGTGGTGCGTGGAAAAGCGATATTCTAATATGTCTCGCATTGCTCGGTCCACATTACCATAAATACACACCTGCATTGCCACTGTCACAGAGAGTGACAGTGACGCTCTCTCTGTCACAGTCACAGTCATAGTCTCAATTACACAGACACTGACACTGACATAGACACTCTCTCTCTCCCCTCCCTTCTCCATACGAAGTGATCGTATATCAACAAACGGACATGTATGGACCTCGATGAAGATAGAAAAGTAGATAGACCTATAACCATGAACTCTCATGTAACCACAAAAGCATCCATACAGACATTAAGTCTCTTTTTTTCCCGTCTCCGTACGTATTAATTTGATTTACTGACTTTAATGCAAAACTAAATTTTCCCTCTCCTCGTGTCTTGCCCAGGATCATGCCCGAGAGCGTCCGCTGGCTGGTGTCTCAGGGCAAGAGGGACGTAGCCGTCAAGATCATCAAGAAGGCAGCGGATGTCAACGGCGTGGAAGTCCCTAAGCACCTCCTCGAAGACAGCAATACTGAGGTTGGTCGTCCCTCGCACGTCCTCGTATCGAGTTCTCCCGACACGGAGGTCTCTCGTCCTTCGTAACATTATCGTCTCTTTTTTTACCCCTTCTTTTTTTCTCTCATTCAGTTTTTTCTTCTTTTCCTTCGTCTCCTCCCACTCCTTTATTTTCTTCTCCTTCTCCTCCACCTTCTTCTCCTTCTCTCCCTCCCCCCTCCCCCTCCCCCTCCCCCCTCCCCCTTCTTTTTCTTTTTCTCTTCCCCCTTCTTTTTCTCCTTCTCCTCCCCCTTCTTCTTCTCCTCCTCCCCCTCCCCCTTCTCCTTCTCCTTCTTCTTCTCCTTCTCCTTCTCCTTCTCCTTCTCCTTCTCCTCCCCCTCCCCCTCCCCCTTTTTCTTCTTCTTCCCCTCCCCCTCCCCCTCCCCCCTCCCCCTCCCCCTTCTTATTCTTATTCTCCTCCCTCTTCTTCTTCTCCTTCCACTTCTTCTTTTTCTCCTCCCCCTTCTTCTTATTATTATTATCCCCCAACCCCTACTCCATTTCCTTCTCCTACCCCTTCTTCTTCTCCTTCTCCTCCCCCTTCTTCTTCTCCTTCTCCTTCTCCTTCTCCTTCTCCTTCTCCTTCTCCTTCTCCTTCTCCTTCTCCTTCTCCTTCTCCTTCTCCTTCTCCTTCTCCTTCTCCTTCTCCTTCTCCTTCTCCTTCTCCTTCTCCTTCTCCTTCTCCTTCTCCTTCTCCTTCTCCTTCTCCTTCTCCTTCTCCTTCTCCTTCTCCTTCTCCTTCTCCTTCTCCTCCCCCTTCTTCTTCTCCTTCTCCTCCCCCTCCCCCTTCTCCTTCTCCTTCTCCTTCTCCTTCTCCTTCTCCTTCTCCTTCTCCTTCTCCTTCTCCTTCTCCTTCTCCTTCTCCTTCTCCTTCTCCTTCTCCTTCTCCTTCTCCTTCTCCTTCTCCTTCTCCTTCTCCTTCTCCTTCTCCTTCTCCTTCTCCTTCTCCTTCTCCTTCTCCTTCTCCTTCTCCTTCTCCTTCTCCTTCTCCTTCTCCTTCTCCTTCTCCTTCTCCTTCTCCTTCTCCTTCTCCTTCTCCTTCTCCTTCTCCTTCTCCTTCTCCTTCTCCTTCTCCTTCTCCTTCTCCTTCTCCTTCTCCTTCTCCTTCTCCTTCTCCTTCTCCTTCTCCTTCTCCTTCTCCTTCTCCTTCTCCTTCTCCTTCTCCTTCTCCTTCTCCTTCTCCTTCTCCTTCTCCTTCTCCTTCTCCTTCTCCTTCTCCTTCTCCTTCTCCTTCTCCTTCTCCTTCTCCTTCTCCTTCTCCTTCTCCTTCTCCTTCTCCTTCTCCTTCTCCTTCTCCTTCTCCTTCTCCTTCTCCTTCTCCTTCTCCTTCTCCTTCTCCTTCTCCTTCTCCTTCTCCTTCTCCTTCTCCTTCTCCTTCTCCTTCTCCTTCTCCTTCTCCTTCTCCTTCTCCTTCTCCTTCTCCTTCTCCTTCTCCTTCTCCTTCTCCTTCTCCTTCTCCTTCTCCTTCTCCTTCTCCTTCTCCTTCTCCTTCTCCTTCTCCTTCTCCTTCTCCTTCTCCTTCTCCTTCTCCTTCTCCTTCTCCTTCTCCTTCTCCTTCTCCTTCTCCTTCTCCTTCTCCTTCTCCTTCTCCTTCTCCTTCTCCTTCTCCTTCTCCTTCTCCTTCTCCTTCTCCTTCTCCTTCTCCTTCTCCTTCTCCTTCTCCTTCTCCTTCTCCTTCTCCTTCTCCTTCTCCTTCTCCTTCTCCTTCTCCTTCTCCTTCTCCTTCTCCTTCTCCTTCTCCTTCTCCTTCTCCTTCTCCTTCTCCTTCTCCTTCTCCTTCTCCTTCTCCTTCTCCTTCTCCTTCTCCTTCTCCTTCTCCTTCTCCTTCTCCTTCTCCTTCTCCTTCTCCTTCTCCTTCTCCTTCTCCTTCTCCTTCTCCTTCTCCTTCTCCTTCTCCTTCTCCTTCTCCTTCTCCTTCTCCTTCTCCTTCTCCTTCTCCTTCTCCTTCTCCTTCTCCTTCTCCTTCTCCTTCTCCTTCTCCTTCTCCTTCTCCTTCTCCTTCTCCTTCTCCTTCTCCTTCTCCTTCTCCTTCTCCTTCTCCTTCTCCTTCTCCTTCTCCTTCTCCTTCTCCTTCTCCTTCTCCTTCTCCTTCTCCTTCTCCTTCTCCTTCTCCTTCTCCTTCTCCTTCTCCTTCTCCTTCTCCTTCTCCTTCTCCTTCTCCTTCTCCTTCTCCTTCTCCTTCTCCTTCTCCTTCTCCTTCTCCTTCTCCTTCTCCTTCTCCTTCTCCTTCTCCTTCTCCTTCTCCTTCTCCTTCTCCTTCTCCTTCTCCTTCTCCTTCTCCTTCTCCTTCTCCTTCTCCTTCTCCTTCTCCTTCTCCTTCTCCTTCTCCTTCTCCTTCTCCTTCTCCTTCTCCTTCTCCTTCTCCTTCTCCTTCTCCTTCTCCTTCTCCTTCTCCTTCTCCTTCTCCTTCTCCTTCTCCTTCTCCTTCTCCTTCTCCTTCTCCTTCTCCTTCTCCTTCTCCTTCTCCTTCTCCTTCTCCTTCTCCTTCTCCTTCTCCTTCTCCTTCTCCTTCTCCTTCTCCTTCTCCTTCTCCTTCTCCTTCTCCTTCTCCTTCTCCTTCTCCTTCTCCTTCTCCTTCTCCTTCTCCTTCTCCTTCTCCTTCTCCTTCTCCTTCTCCTTCTCCTTCTCCTTCTCCTTCTCCTTCTCCTTCTCCTTCTCCTTCTCCTTCTCCTTCTCCTTCTCCTTCTCCTTCTCCTTCTCCTTCTCCTTCTCCTTCTCCTTCTCCTTCTCCTTCTCCTTCTCCTTCTCCTTCTCCTTCTCCTTCTCCTTCTCCTTCTCCTTCTCCTTCTCCTTCTCCTTCTCCTTCTCCTTCTCCTTCTCCTTCTCCTTCTCCTTCTCCTTCTCCTTCTCCTTCTCCTTCTCCTTCTCCTTCTCCTTCTCCTTCTCCTTCTCCTTCTCCTTCTCCTTCTCCTTCTCCTTCTCCTTCTCCTTCTCCTTCTCCTTCTCCTTCTCCTTCTCCTTCTCCTTCTCCTTCTCCTTCTCCTTCTCCTTCTCCTTCTCCTTCTCCTTCTCCTTCTCCTTCTCCTTCTCCTTCTCCTTCTCCTTCTCCTTCTCCTTCTCCTTCTCCTTCTCCTTCTCCTTCTCCTTCTCCTTCTCCTTCTCCTTCTCCTTCTCCTTCTCCTTCTCCTTCTCCTTCTCCTTCTCCTTCTCCTTCTCCTTCTCCTTCTCCTTCTCCTTCTCCTTCTCCTTCTCCTTCTCCTTCTCCTTCTCCTTCTCCTTCTCCTTCTCCTTCTCCTTCTCCTTCTCCTTCTCCTTCTCCTTCTCCTTCTCCTTCTCCTTCTCCTTCTCCTTCTCCTTCTCCTTCTCCTTCTCCTTCTCCTTCTCCTTCTCCTTCTCCTTCTCCTTCTCCTTCTCCTTCTCCTTCTCCTTCTCCTTCTCCTTCTCCTTCTCCTTCTCCTTCTCCTTCTCCTTCTCCTTCTCCTTCTCCTTCTCCTTCTCCTTCTCCTTCTCCTTCTCCTTCTCCTTCTCCTTCTCCTTCTCCTTCTCCTTCTCCTTCTCCTTCTCCTTCTCCTTCTCCTTCTCCTTCTCCTTCTCCTTCTCCTTCTCCTTCTCCTTCTCCTTCTCCTTCTCCTTCTCCTTCTCCTTCTCCTTCTCCTTCTCCTTCTCCTTCTCCTTCTCCTTCTCCTTCTCCTTCTCCTTCTCCTTCTCCTTCTCCTTCTCCTTCTCCTTCTCCTTCTCCTTCTCCTTCTCCTTCTCCTTCTCCTTCTCCTTCTCCTTCTCCTTCTCCTTCTCCTTCTCCTTCTCCTTCTCCTTCTCCTTCTCCTTCTCCTTCTCCTTCTCCTTCTCCTTCTCCTTCTCCTTCTCCTTCTCCTTCTCCTTCTCCTTCTCCTTCTCCTTCTCCTTCTCCTTCTCCTTCTCCTTCTCCTTCTCCTTCTCCTTCTCCTTCTCCTTCTCCTTCTCCTTCTCCTTCTCCTTCTCCTTCTCCTTCTCCTTCTCCTTCTCCTTCTCCTTCTCCTTCTCCTTCTCCTTCTCCTTCTCCTTCTCCTTCTCCTTCTCCTTCTCCTTCTCCTTCTCCTTCTCCTTCTCCTTCTCCTTCTCCTTCTCCTTCTCCTTCTCCTTCTCCTTCTCCTTCTCCTTCTCCTTCTCCTTCTCCTTCTCCTTCTCCTTCTCCTTCTCCTTCTCCTTCTCCTTCTCCTTCTCCTTCTCCTTCTCCTTCTCCTTCTCCTTCTCCTTCTCCTTCTCCTTCTCCTTCTCCTTCTCCTTCTCCTTCTCCTTCTCCTTCTCCTTCTCCTTCTCCTTCTCCTTCTCCTTCTCCTTCTCCTTCTCCTTCTCCTTCTCCTTCTCCTTCTCCTTCTCCTTCTCCTTCTCCTTCTCCTTCTCCTTCTCCTTCTCCTTCTCCTTCTCCTTCTCCTTCTCCTTCTCCTTCTCCTTCTCCTTCTCCTTCTCCTTCTCCTTCTCCTTCTCCTTCTCCTTCTCCTTCTCCTTCTCCTTCTCCTTCTCCTTCTCCTTCTCCTTCTCCTTCTCCTTCTCCTTCTCCTTCTCCTTCTCCTTCTCCTTCTCCTTCTCCTTCTCCTTCTCCTTCTCCTTCTCCTTCTCCTTCTCCTTCTCCTTCTCCTTCTCCTTCTCCTTCTCCTTCTCCTTCTCCTTCTCCTTCTCCTTCTCCTTCTCCTTCTCCTTCTCCTTCTCCTTCTCCTTCTCCTTCTCCTTCTCCTTCTCCTTCTCCTTCTCCTTCTCCTTCTCCTTCTCCTTCTCCTTCTCCTTCTCCTTCTCCTTCTCCTTCTCCTTCTCCTTCTCCTTCTCCTTCTCCTTCTCCTTCTCCTTCTCCTTCTCCTTCTCCTTCTCCTTCTCCTTCTCCTTCTCCTTCTCCTTCTCCTTCTCCTTCTCCTTCTCCTTCTCCTTCTCCTTCTCCTTCTCCTTCTCCTTCTCCTTCTCCTTCTCCTTCTCCTTCTCCTTCTCCTTCTCCTTCTCCTTCTCCTTCTCCTTCTCCTTCTCCTTCTCCTTCTCCTTCTCCTTCTCCTTCTCCTTCTCCTTCTCCTTCTCCTTCTCCTTCTCCTTCTCCTTCTCCTTCTCCTTCTCCTTCTCCTTCTCCTTCTCCTTCTCCTTC